GCCCAGACCATGTTCTGGGTGGCATTAAAAGAACTGTGGCCAGCAGGTCGAGGGAAGTGATTCTCTCCCTCTGCTCTGCTCTCAGGACACCCCACCTAAAGTACTGTGTCCCGTTCTGGAGCCCCAAACACAGAAAAGACATGGACCTGCTGGAGCAAGTCCAGAGGAGGGCCACAAAGATGATCAGAGGGCTGGAGCACCCCTCCTATGAAGCCAGGCTGAGAGTTGCAGCTGTTCAGCCTGGAAAAGAGGAGTTTCCAGGGAGACCTTATAGGGGCCTTCCAGTACCTGAAGGGGGCCTACAGGATAGCTAAGGAAGGATTTTTTACAAGGGTATGTAGCAATAGGACAAGTGGTAATGGTTTTAAGCTGAGAGTACATTTAGGCTAGTGTGAGGGTGGTGAGACAATGGAACAGGTTGCCCAGGGAAGTTGTGGATGATCCATCCCTGGAGGTGTTAAGGGCCAGGCTGGATGTGGCTTTGGGCAACCTGATCTACTGCAACGTGTCCCTGCCCATGGCAGGGAGGTTGGAACTAGATGATCTTTAAGGTCCTTCCAACCCAAACTGATCTATGATTCTATGGTTTGTTTTTTTTTTTAAATGGACAAAATCAGCACAGAGTTTTGAAGCGTTCAGAACACACCCCTGAGTATGGAGTATTTACAGGAATGAAGGAGTTAAATATTCACATTTTAGCCAGGAAGAATGAAATGTTAGTCAAACCCATCCCAAACTCTAACTAGGGAACGATTACCACTTAGAAAAATGATAAGATGTATTCTTCCATGGTAGTCACTGCAAAGTTTTTCTTAGGCTTTTTCCTATCACTCCATACACTTTTCTGACTCTGAACTACTGCTATTTATAGAGAGCCCATAGATGCACCTGCCTAACTTTTCTCAACCTTTCAATCTTGCCTTTGAACGTCTACGTAACTAAATCAAATGTCACACTGCCAAACTCAAACTCCATGTCAGAATTCCGCTCTACGTCATAAGCTGTAAAGGGAGATGGTGTGACTTGCCAGAATATTGATGTCCATGCTGCAGAGTATAGAGTGAATGGCATCACCTCCTTTATAAGCCTGTGGTAGAATACATTTTCTTCTCATTTAAGGAAAAGGTATCAACACTCTTCCAAAAATATTCATGGAATCATAGAATGGTTTGGATTGGAAGAGACCATAAAGATCATCTAGATCCAATACATCTACACAGCATGTGTTTGGGAGAAAGGGGTGGTTGTTTGACTAGGAAAATGTGCAAACACGTAAAATACCAAGATTTCTAATTTTTGAATAGGGATTGCATGGTTTGCCTTGACAGATTAAAGATATCACACCACACAGAGTGGATGGTGAGGCACTATGATGTGCAGGGAAAACAACTCATCTCAGTCTTCTACAATTGTGCCTCTCCATAGGCAGTCTGGCAGTAATGAAATTGCATGACAGTTGCATCATGAAACTGCAAAGGTAAGCCTTCTAAATGAAGAAAAAAAATACTACATTGACAGAATTTCCCTGATTTCATTCAATTTTAGTAAGATCTAAAAAGTTTAAAAATGCTAAAGCCATACAATTATACCCTGAACAGAACCTCAAATGCAATTCATTCGGGATAAAATGCAACAGTCTAAGTTGTAGGAGAGATTTTAAAGCCTTTTTCTCTTTCATGAAAACAACGCAGGGAATACACGAGGCACGATGAAACACTGTCCCTCACTGCAGATTCTCACTGAAGAATGATTTAGTGTTCAGCAGCAACTATCAGATTTTAAATTCTATGTTACTGAAATCAGCTAGAATTATTCAATGTGCCTGTTAGTCTTTGGATCAACAGGAGTCTTGCCCTCACGGACATCACAAACAGCTGATCCCTGGTTTTGTTTCATTCCCCTCATGTACTCCTCCTTCTAAAGACTTCAATACAATTCAGTGAGCCCTATGAAAGCAAAGGCCTAGACACTTAAAACACAAGAGTAATTGCTGCACCTTACAAGTAACAATTTTTTGCTTATTTACTTCTTCTCCTTGTTTCTTGTTTTTGTGTCATATCATCTTACTTCCCCTGCCTCCATGCTTTTCCTACTTTTTTAGTTTTATTCTTGGTACTTAGCAGTGTTTTTTTCTATATCCTGGATTACATTGTTTTCTTTTATGCTCATGTAGAAGCTTTAGCTTCTATCCTCTCCCAGTCCGTATGATAATTCTTTCTGCCTCATTATTTGTTGTTCCACCTCTACCTACTACTCTACCCCTTATATCTATCTGTGCTCAGTCTTTGGCCAATGGTAGTTTTTTCCCCTCCCTTATCTTACAACTGTGGACTGCCTCTGGTTTTTTTTGTGGTTTTTAAAAATTTTATTTTACTATACAGCATGGAGGTTTTCACTGCATGTTGTTACAGCATGGTTTTGCATTCACTACAAAAACAGGAAGAATAAAGGACAAAGTTTTGAAACTACTTTTAAAATTGTATTCTACACATTTCATGATTTGCTTCTGTCTTATTCTGTAGAAAGCTTGAGTCAAGCTGAATAAACTTGAAACTGAATTACAATAAAGCATCAAACATGTTTAATGATATCATACTTAGATCATTATTTCAAATAAATGTGTTGTACTGATTTCTGGCTACAGCAATGTAAATGAAGGCAATAATGAGGAACAGTTTACAGCTTTACTCTATGTTCTTACACTTTGTCAAGTTGATTTTCTTTTGGCTGAAATATATTGAAATATAACAAATCTTCAGCAGAGACATCTAAAGAGAAATTAGCAAAAAAGGAAACATTACTGGACAGAGATTGGTAGAATTAGGATGTTATGACTCCAAATAGTACTGGGGAGCAGGTGGGCCTCCTTTACTCAGACACTTTAAATATGGCTCAGTTGAGCAACTTAGACCAGCAGGTGACAAGTGGCTGCAGTATAAAGATTGCTCCCAAAAGTCCACATGAGTCTATGTGAGCTAAAGGTAATACACACCCTCACGTTCTTAGAAAACCAAAATGCAACTGAACTGGTTTGGACATGGCAGTATAGAGGATCTCAAAAGGCAGAGAACCAGTCCAGTACATTTTCAGCGCATTTGACCTAAACTCCTTTCTTACTGCTCACACGCTCAGTTGCCTAGAGCCTTGAAAATGAGACACTACTTGAAAATTCTATTACGTTACAGAAAAACTCTATTTCTGTCATCTTGACTGATAACCACCAAGTGATGAAGACTTTCAAGCTGTTATTTTTCTTCACTTCTTTAGAAAATAAAGGTTTCTGCTCTCTGAATGACTGAGGAGATTTTTAAGCACTCTACATTTCAAGCTATTTAACTACAAAAAAGAAGACAGACAAGTGATACTATTAAGTTGCTCCAGACAGTCTGCTACAGCAAAATTAAAATAATTTCAAGAGAAATAATTTCAAATCTGGCAAGAGAAAAATTGCCATGAAGAGGTTCTTAAGCACTATTTAATCAGAAACACTCCAAACAAAACCAGAGACTTCCTGGGATGTGGTGTGTATACATGAGCAGTCTGGTAATCTGGGGTGATGGGTATCCTGTGCACCAAACTGGAGAGAAGGATTGCACTCACGGGCATAGATAATTACATTTGCCAAATTTGTCCATCTTGTTTGAATCTAACTCCTCAATCAATTTAACAACAGTAAAAAAGGAAGGAAAATTAAATTACAATGATAGAAGCAGAACTTCACACTTCTAATTTGGTCATCAAGAAGAACCAAGTAAGGCATGTATGCAGTAGTTTGGATACAGTCTATGGAAAGTTGCCTTTGCAGTGAATACAACTTGTAATCAAAGGTGTTGTTTCTGTATTGGCATGATGCTTGTCAAATATTTACTTGTTATTAAGATGTCCTGTCCTTTACCTTGTGGAAAGAACATAAATGCATGTTTCCCCAGAAAAGAAGTTTAAAATGACACAACAATCCCTTTTCTTGATCCTTAAGCAAAGCACCGATCCACACCTAAAACTCTTTGTGCCAATTAAGAGTTTTATTTTGACCATTTCTACTGGGGATCCCTAAAATAGTCATACTGGTTTAGAAAATGGCTGAAAATGGGTAGACTGAAATAAAAAGAAGAAGAACAGAGTAATACTTCAGTTGTGAAAGCCTCAGACGCTACAAGGAAGATGCAGAACGACAATAAAATTATGAAGAGAGTTTAAATCCACTCCAAGGCTGGGCTGTCAGCCAGAATGATGCACCCTGCATCTGAGACTAGTGCAGGTGTCCTTTGTTAGGTAATTCCAACAACCAACAGAACCTTGTTTGTATTTAATCTGTAATCATCTAATTCTTAAGGAAACATTCGGAAAATATATTATTGCCGCTTCACTGATACATGTGAAGTTCTAACAAGGCACAGTGATTTTCCATGGGGAAGAAATAGATGTTAAAGCCTGCAGAAATACTAATGAAGGTATTTTTATAGACATACAATTTCTATATATAACAGAAATGTAAGAATACAAAACCAATAATATGTTATAGAAATAAAATCATATATAGATGCCCCCTGCCCCGGCATATAATTTTCAAACAGTTATCCTCAAAATGTAAGTTTTGAGGGAAAATAGCTAAGTTGAAAACAGGCTGTATAGCAATACGTGGTTTTGAAGTGCACAAACCTAGATGCTCTTACACTCTTTATATACACAGAAGAAAATGATATGTGGAAATCTTATTAGATTTCTCAAAGTCTGAAAGAATGTTAAGTGTTACCTTTTCTACCTAGCTGTTAATTTTTACCTGAAGTCAGACATTTCATGTTTTCCTCCAAACACATTTTAAGCAAGCAAACAAGCAATGTCAGAAACCAGGAATTTATCCTTAAAAGATAACAACTATCAAGCACACACATACTAACACAACATATAATCAACGTCATGAATGGAAAAAACAGCATCCAAGCATTTTCAGATACAGCTTGATACAAAAGGTAGAAGCCACTGTATTTTTGCATACTCACTAGTTTTGCACTGACAAATGCGGCAACCATTTTGGTCCAGTTTGAAGCTGTAGATACAGTCTTTTTCAGTCAAAGTGCAGTTTACCAAAATCTCACAGGTGGGTGGACCTATTGTGATGTATGTTGGTTCTGAAGGCAAAAAAAATATAAGGAAATAAATTTGAGATGACTTGAGTATTTTAATTAAGTTCACAAAAAGGCATACACAGTGCAATAATGAAGAGAACAAAATTAATTAAATTTGCTTCTGATTGGTTAACGTTCTTGGCACTTCTGAAACAACTGAAGACACCGACTTTGCTTTGAAGTAATATACACTCATCACAAAGAGTATAAAGCAGCATAAAATTTTTGAAATGTGGAAACAGGAAAGAATTACTACATTTTTTTGTTCACTATGAAATCAGCTTTCCCGCAAACGCAGCTTAAAACCTAATGCAAAATACTTATTTTGCCCACTTTACTCCAAAAGTATTTCATCAAAACTTTAAGTAGGTTTTTGTTTGATTTTTTTTTTTTTCCACTTTAGAAACTTTCTCCAAAGCTCAGCTGATAGATACTACCAAGCTGTAAACCAAAGCATGTGACTCAGTAGATCAAATCTTTCTCTATGTGAATAAGATCACTTCTACTGAAATTTAAAGCAGAAGAGATTCTGAATACCAAAAGGGAATGCAAGATCCACTGCATGTGAAAGATCTCTGGAAACCATTTAACGTATCTATTCATTGAAAACATAACTTAGAATATACTTTTCACTACCAGATTATGTTTTCTGAAGTTGAGGAAATTGTCAATTATGAGCTATTTATGAACAATATAATGCTTACCTTTGGCTACCATTTAAATATATTACAGTATGAAAATTGTTTTAACACATATGGTAGCCAGAAGTATTAATGTTTTTCTACATGAAGTTCAAATACATTTTAAGTCAGATTTTGCCATCCTTACTTACGGCAGCTAGTTTTTACTCTCAGACTAAAGGTAAAATACTACTCAATGTAGATTAAGTTGTTAGAAGTATACACTGTTAACCAAAAAAAACAAATTTCTGTTCCTATTGGCTCCATGTCCAGCTAGCAGATTTTGTACCCATGCCTTCCAGTCAAGTGACAATTTTCCTATTACAAGAAGGAGCTTTTCTGCTCGCATTGTCTTTGACAATTTCCAGCTCTCATAGCTTCTCCCCAACCCTACACTTCCCTTCACAACAGTTTATACAGCAGCTGAACGTTTTTAATCCTTTTAAAAACAGGTCAGCTAAGTATGGAGTTTGGAGGGAAAAACTGCATGAAAGACACTACAGTGAAGTTAAATGGCTTCAAACTCACCTCAGAGGTCATAGTTCAGATTCCTTACTTTGCTGAAAGTTTCAAGGTAACATTAAATTTTAGTTGCTTGAGTAATTTTTGCAGTAAAAGTAGCTATACCCTTCATACAAATATATATATATGTAACACTACTAACAGCTTTGTTCAAATACAAGCTAGAAATTTGTATAAAGGTCTCTGTAGACCTCTCAAACATCTTGCAATTTAAATTAAAACTTTCCCAGATATTTTTTTAAGAGTTGCATATAGATTACTGGATTTTAGGCTAAAGGGGAAGTTTTATACATTTCTGTGAATTTTTCATTTCACAGCTCCAAGTTTGCACTTGTAGTATGGAAGAGTAACTGTAATACACAATGTATTTTAGAATCCACGGATTCCCAAACATCTTTTTATATCAGTGAATTATTAATATTTCTTTTCAAGTTCATTCAGTAAACTGCCTAACAAAACCATAATCATGTCTAATCTTCAACATTTGCAACTTTAACAAACCATTAGTAACAAACCATCGAGAATATATATTAATATACATTAATGAAACTCCAGTAACTAACCTCACCTGTTTAGGGTTCAGAGTATATAAACTAGTTCTGCAAACAAATTGATTTTTTGCATCTCATGCCCATTCTGAAAATCTCCTCTCCTAGCTCACTCCATTCTCTAACCAAAACACCCTAGACATACAAAAGATGAGAATAAAAGAGTTACCCTGAAGGTTACTGATCAGCCAGCCCAAACCCTACAATTAAAATGATAAAAAAGCCACAGTAATGCTTATACTCACTGGTAGTTAAAACCACTACAAATCATATGAATCATTAATGCTACCCTGTTCACAGATAGTAACATGAGCTGAAGAACTGAAGGAGACACTAGCTTTACCATCTGTCTGCAGAACTGTTAGGTAAAATCTGTAGTTTAAAATGCCACTACACTCACTGAAAGCTGAGATGCAGGTTAGTATTGACTGACCCACTTGGGTGTAAACAAAATCTAGAGAGAATCGGGATTTTGTTGCAACCCCCCATCACTTAAGTCCATCCCTCAAGACAATTTCTCAATAATTGCAGGTGTAATTTAAAATCTAGGAAAAAACCCAGTGAGTATTTGTTACGTATTTTGGTGGTGACTTTTCAAACCTGTATTAAGTGTTTTGATGCTCTCTTGTTTTGGACATACCCACACAATATTTTTCCCTGTTGTCACCTCCAGTAATGTGGTATTTCTCACAAGGGACAAAATTCAACTGACATATTAATTTGAAAGGTTTTTATTAGTCCTCTACCCATTGTTTTATTATTCTGTTACCTCCCACTTCTGTGTTTGCTCTCAGCATCCTCAGTGTTCCTAGACAAGCTTACAAATCTGTATTTTCTCCCTCCTGTCCCTAAAGGTAAGCCCTGAGATACAGTAATTTCATATGCATGCCTGCTTCTCAATGAGCTGCAAGTAGAGGACAAAAGAAATAATTTCATTCCCTACCCCCACATGTGCAAAAATGCAGCCAGGGGAAAAAAAAAAAAGCCACCAAAAAAACCCCCAGCTCTTTTCACTTCGCTAGACAAGACTCAACAAATAAAGCCAGCTCTGCTCTGCCAGGCTTCTGGCTATTTGAATAGGCAAGCAGGAGCTAAGCTTCAAAAAGCATGTACCACCACATGATCTGAGCTAGGCTTTCACTGCTGCTCTTGGTAGAAACGGCACAAGAAAAGATCCAGTGCACAAATGTACAGACAATGGGTGGGAAAAATGGTGCTGTTTCTGTCTGTGTGCTTTACCAACAATAAAACTATACTGTAGAAAGAAAGAGAGAAGAAGAAAATATGAAAGTGGATTGAATACAGTCTGGATGGAAAAAATGGATTTTCAATAGAGCACAGATTTTGCTGATGTCAAGTACTTACACAGAAGGTTAAAAGCAGATCAGAACATCTTGCTTCCAAGTACTCTGAGACTGACACTTTCTGTGCTGAAATTTAGTGCAGGAGATTATTAATTTGCCTGCTGTGAGGTTGATAAAAATATCTGAATTAATGTTTTACACTGCTGTTTACTTAAAATCAACTTCAAACATTTTGAAATCCACAGAGGATACTTCAGCCACTGATGGTCCATCAGTCTGACTGGTCCACTGAAAATACTACGGTACATGATCAAAACCCTGAGTGTCATTCATCTCATCTGGAAATCAAACCGCCTTTAAGAGGAAAGAAGGGAAGACAATGACATCCAAGCAATGTGTAGAGCTATCTTTGACCTTACAGAGCCTATAGTATCAATACCAACCCAAAAACTGGATGTGCCAAAAAACCCACAAAAAACCAAACCAAACAAAAAAATTGTCAAGGTGGAATAAGACCATAGCTTCAATGGCATCTTTCTACCCAGGACACTTTCATAATATGACACAGTCAATCCCCAGGCCTCTTCTGTGATTTACTCATTTTTGAGACCTCCCACTTCTACGACTGATATGACACAGCTCGTATTACAAAAAGGAGACACAGATCTTGTTATACCTGGATGAGTATTGAGGTCTTAAGATAATGCTCAGCTGAAATATTCACTAATGGAGAGAAACCGATGCATCCAGATTTCAGTGCAACCAGGAGGAAAAGAATTTCTTAGGATCAGAATTTTACTATGCACACAGTTGGATCAAATAGATAAGAAACCTAAACTTGATAATTGATTGCTGAAGCCCTGGAAAACTAAATAAATAAAGACAGACAAACAAACACACACACACTCCCCCCCCCCCCCAAGAGACAATTTATTGCAATCTTGTTGACTTCTACTGTTTATCTGAATGTTAAAAATGAACTGCTCACTGAAGTTTTCATTCAACAAGAAGATTTCAGAAAGACACACTCCAGTACAGAACAGGGCCACCAAGCTAGTCAAGGGCTGGTGCTGGTGGCAAATGAGGCATGACTGAGAGACCAGGCCTTGCTCAGCTGGGAGAAGGAGGCTGAGTGGGGTATCCAACTGCTTTTACCACTACTTAATGGGAGAGTATAAAGATGACAAGGCCTGGCTCATCCTGAAGATGCTCCAGGCTAGGATGAGAGGCAATGAACACAAATATGGACATGGGAAATTACAACTTGATAGAAGTTGTTTTGTTCTTTCTTTTCAAACACATATAACCCACTGAAATACTATTTGGTACTTTGTATTTTTTCAGTATTTGCATATTGACTTATTACTGCCATGCTTAAAAACAACTTCAGATGGTTTTTTTCATAGTTACTACAGAAAAAAACCACAGTATATTCTAATAAAGATATTTTGAGGAATTATTTGGAGAATTATGCTCATGGAACTGGAAGATGAAGTTGACAGTGATTTCTTCCTATGTATAACAAAAAACATTTGAAAAAAAATTGAAAAAAAGCATGCAAAAGTGCATTTTTATTTTTACTACTACACATGCTTCCCATCCCCAGAAGTGTTTAAGGCCAGGTTGGATGGAGCTCTGAGCAGCCTGATATAGTGGGAGGTGTCCCCTCCATCAAGTTGGAACGTGATGATCTTTGAGGTCCCTTCCAACTCTATTCTATGATTCTACAATTTTTGAAAGGCTAAATTACAATCAAGATATTTTCGGCATACCAACAGGAACACATGAACTTTTCAAACACACCAATCTAATTTATGCAGCACAATGAAGCCTAAAACTATTCCTAAATTTAAACATGAAGATTATGTAGTCTCCCACAAGTGAGAAGTGGGATTGTACGTTTCACTGCTCAATACTACAACTTCTCAACTGTCTCTTTCATTTTCCCA